GGTGCTCAGGGTGTCCCCAGGGCACTGACCCTGTCCCCTTGCCCACCCCGGGGTGCTCAGGGTGTCCCCAGGGCACTGACCCTGTCCCCTTGCCCGCAGTGACCGCCACGGAGCCCCCGTGCTGTGGGAGGCCAGGCTGGCAGCGCCGGCGGGCTGTGGCCGTGCTGAGGCTGCCCTGTGCCAGCCTGGGCACCCCGAGGTGGCACCTGCCCTGCAAGGCTCCTCCAGGACACTGCGGGGACACCCTGGGGACACTGCGGGGCTGGCCAGCAGCAGCCAGCCCGCCCCGGGGGCTGTGGGGACCCCCAGCATTCCTGGAGGGAAGGAAAGGGGGGATGTTCTTCTGCGTTTGTTGCTGTTTAATAAAAACTTCCTTTTTTAATGTTTTTTTTTTAATTTTGTTGTGCTTTTGGGCCGAGTTTGTGGCCGTGGCCACTCTGGGGCTGGCTTTTGTTGAGGGTGGATTTTGTGAGCAGTGAAGGGATGGAGGGACAGAGCAGGGAAGGATCCACGCTGGGCAGCTCCCTGAAATAATCGGAGAATCCTGGAATCTGCTGAGTGGCAAGGGACCCGCCGGGATCATCAATCCAGTCCCTGGCCCTGCACACACCTCCCAAAATCTGAGCTGGGGGAAGAACCTTTCCCAAAATCCAGCCTGTTCCCAATTCCCAGTCTTGGCCTTTGCACGGATTCTGTGGCTCACAGCTCCTGCTCCCCCCGAAGCTGTCACAACCCTGGGGACGAGGAGGTGCCACCATCCCTGTGCCCTGTCCCAGCCGGGCCTGGAGCTCCCACGGAGCCTTGGGATGCTCTGGAACAGCTCGGGTGCAGCTGCTGGGGCAGAAAGGACCTGGGGACTAAAAGGACCTGGAAGGCAAAAAAGGATTCTGGAGGCAAAAAGGATTTGGAGGCAAAAAAGGGTTCTGGAGGTAAAAAGGATCTGGAAGCAAAAAGGACCTGGAGGCAAAAAAGGACCTGGAGGCAAAAAAGGATTCTGGAGGTAAAAAGGATCTGGAAGCAAAAAGGACGTGGAGGCAAAAAAGGACCTGGAGGCAAAAAAGGATTCTGGAGGCAAAAATCACCTGGAGGCAAAAAGGATTTGGAGGCAAAAAAGGATTCTGGAGGCAAAAAAGGACATGGAGGCAAAAAAGGATTCTGGAGGTAAAAAGGATCTGGAAGCAAAAAGGACCTGGAGGCAAAAAAGGACCTGGAGGCAAAAAGGATTTGGAGGCAAAAAAGGATTCTGGAGGCAAAAGAGGACCTGAAGGCAAAAATTACCTGGAGGCAAAAAAGGACCTGGGGACAAAAGGATTCTGGAGGCAATAAAAGGACATAGAGACAAAAAGGCCTGGAGGCAAAAAGGATTTGGAGGCAAAACAAGGACCTGGAGGCAAAAATAGGATTCTGAAGGTAAAAAGGAGGCAAAGAGGGCTTGAGAGGCACAAAGGAGCTGGAGCCCTTGCTGGCCTCTCTCCCACCTGGATTCGCGGCTGCCCCGTGGAATTGCTGCGGTTCCCCAAAACGGAGGGGGAAAAGCTCCTCCTTCCCTGCCCGCGGATGAATTCTCAGCCCTGCAGCTCCGGGCTGGGCCAGAGGATCCCCCCAGCCCTGCCCCGATCCCAGAAATCACGGACACCCCGACGGGCCCCGCCAGGCCGGGTTTATTCCCTCCCCAAATCTGGATGGAGCCACCCAAACCCCAAATTGGGCTGTGGGGGGCCAGGCTGGGAGCACCCACCCCAGCGGGGCACGAACAGGAACCTGCAGCGCGGCTTTTGCTCCCTTTTTTATAGATTTCTGCGCGGATGTAGAGAAAATAGAGAGAACGTGGGGCGCCCCCAGCAGAGCCACGGCCGGCTGCAAACAGCTCTGAGGTGGGGAATCAAAAGGGCCCCGTCCGGATTGTCCCGGGCTGTCCCCTGCCTGTCCCGGGCTGTCCCCCTGCTGTCCCCCGGCTGTCCCCTCCTTGTCCCGGGCTGTCCCCTGCCTGTCCCGGGCTGTCCCGTGGCTGTCCCGGGCTGTCCCCTGCCTGTCCCGGNCTGTCCCGGGCTGTCCCCTGCCTGTCCCGGCCTGTCCCCTGCCTGTCCCGGCCTGTCCCCTGCCTGTCCCGGGCTGTCCCCTGCCTGTCCCGGGCTGTCCCCTCCTTGTCCCGGGCTGTCCCCTGCCTGTCCCCTGCCTGTCCCGGGCTGTCCCGTGGCTGTCCCGGGCTGTCCCCTGCCTGTCCCGGGCTGTCCCCTCCCTGTCCCGGGCTGTCCCCTGCCTGTCCCCCGGCTGTCCCCTCCCTGTCCCGGGCTGTCCCCTGCCTGTCCCGGGCTGTCCCCTGGCTGTCTCTGCCTGTCCCCCGGCTGTCCCCTCGCTGTCCCCCGGGCTATCCCCGGACTGTCCCCTTGCTTTTTCCCGGCTGTCCCTGACTGTCCCCCCGTTGTCCCCCGGCTGTCCCCCCGTTGTACCCGGGCTGTCCCCGGCTGTCCCCCTGTTGTCCCCTCGCTGTCCCTGGGGCTGTCCCTGACTGTCCCCCCGTTGTCCCCCGGCTGTCCCGGGCTGTCCCTGGCTGTGTCCCGGGCTGTCCCCCCGTTGTCCCGCGCTGTCCCCCTGGCTGCCCCCGGGCTGTCCCGGGCTGTCCCCGGCTGTCCCCCCGTTGTCCCCCGGGCTGTCCCGGGCTGTCCCCCTGTTGTCCCCTCGCTGTCCCTGGGGCTGTCCCTGGCTGTCCCCCCGTTGTCCCGGGCTGTCCCCGTTGTCCCCCCGTTGTCCCGGGCTGTCCCCCCGCTGTCTCCCCGTTGTCCCGGGCTGTCCCCTCGCTGTTCCCCCGTTGTCCCGGGCTGTCCCGGGCTGTCCCCCTGTTGTCCCCTCGCTGTCCCTGGGGCTGTCCCGGGCTGTCCCCCCGCTGTCCCCCGGGCTGTCCCCGTTGTTCCCCCGTTGTCCCGGGCTGTTCCCCCGTTGTCCCGGGCTGTCCCCCGCTGTGCCCCGCTAGGGCCTGGCGTGGTGCGGGAAGGCCGGGCCGTGCGGGGAGCCGCAGGAGCGCTGCCCGTGCCACGGAGCCGCGGGGTACAGCCGGGGCGAGCTCCCGTAGGACGCGGGAAAGCGGCCGGCGCCGGTGGCCACCACCAGAGGGCTGGGGAAGGCCGGGATCACCAAGGGGCTGACGGAGAGCGCCGGGACCACCGGCACGCCCCGGGATTTCAGGTGCTCCAGGCGGCTCCCGAAGGCGCCCGGGAAGCGCAGCGCGGCCGCCTCGAAAGCGGGAGCGGCCGGCACGGCCCTGGGCTCGGCCAGCCCGCGGTGCCCGCCCGAGGAGCGGCTCCGCCTGGCCCGGCCCTCCTCGGGCACCGGGGACACGGCGCGGCAGCTGCCCGTGGGGCCGAAGGGCTCCTCCTCCTCCTCCTCCTCCTCCTCCTCCTCCTCCCCGGGGCGGCCGGCGGCGGCCCCGGGGGACACCCAGCCTGCCCGGCCCGGCCACGGCCGCCCCGCCTGGCCCCGCGGCTGCTCGGGCTCCTCGGGCCGCGCCGGGCCCCAAAAATCCTTCAGGCTGGAGAAGTAGCCCCAGGGCTGCGGGCCCTCGCCGCTGCGGTAGGCGTGGAAGTAGCCGGTGAAGACGGCGGGGGCCGCGGCGCCGTCCTGCGGGCAGCCCTGGCTGTCCCTGCCGGCCGGGGACGCCGCGCTCGGGGCTCTGTCCGCGGCTCCCAGCGGCTCCGCCGGGCCAGCGCCGCGGAGCCCGGGCGGCTCGGGGCCGGCGTGGCTCGGTGCCCGCCGGCCCTCGGGGCACTGGCGCTTGTGGCAGGGCAAGGACTCGGCCTTGCTGACCTGCGCCAGCAGCTTCTTCTTGGCCAGCGGCGACATGATGGGGTGGTTCCCTTTGGAGTAGAAGCTGGAGAAGAGGCGCTTGTAGGTCTCGCCGTGGCTCCTGCAGGGGCTGGGACACCTCCCCGAGGGGCTGGGGGCCGGCATGGCCGGGATGGAGCGTCCCTCTGTCCCCCGGCCCCGCTCCGCCGCGTCCTCCGCGCCCGCCTCCGGCCGCGCCCTGTCCGGAGCCACCTGCGGGCAGAGGGGTCGGGCTGAGGCTGGGGTCCCGGGCTGGGGTCCGGGCTGGGGTCTGGCCCGGGGTCCCGGGCTGGGGTCCCGGGCTGGGGTCCCGGCTGGGGTCCGGGCTGGGGTCCCGGGCTGGGGTCCGGGCTGGGGTCCGGTTCGGGGTCCCGGGCTGGGGTCCGGGCTGGGGTCCCGGCTGCGGTCCCGGGCTGGGGTCTGGGCTGG